GGTGCCAGCATTCGCAAATTGTTGATGTGTGAAAAGTGGCCAAGAAAATGATGCATGCTGCTGGAATCTTTGCCACAACTACATTCCGTTTGCAATATCCTTCATGCTAGAATCCGCTACCACAGTCATCGTAAAATGAAGGTGCGGTTGCATGTGCTTGTGAACCGCACCTCGTCGAGCCGCGCGAGCGCGGGCGCGCGGCTCCGGCGTGGGACCAGACCGCTGGGCGCGGCGCGCGCTCAGCCCGTGTTCACTGACGCAGACACGGACCACGTACCTTGCATACCGAAGCTGCCGCGCCGGCGGCTGACGGGGGACACGACCGGCGAGCCCGCACTCGCCGTCACTGCCGCCGCCGTCGGCCGCCCGCCGGGGGCGCCGCCGCTCCGCCGGGCCTAATTGGATGGCCGTCCGCCGGCCGCCTAACAGGCTTACCGGCGGTGGCTGCGGCTTACGGGCGACGCGTGGTGTGAGGTTTCGGCGGCCCGCGCCGCGCGGCGACAGGTGCCCGGTGGCGTCCCGGCGCGGCTCGCGCGCACGAAGAGGCCCAACATCGAGCCAGGCCGGCTGTCAGCAGCCCGTGCTGCTCCCCGGAGGCGAGCCTGGACGACGCGGCCGTCACGCTGCTGTCCTGAGGCGCACCGAAAAACCCGCTGTTTCCATGACTACATTCGCACACGCATCCCCTCGGATTACGTAAGACACCAGGTCGATCGAGTGCGCGTGCATCGCGGCGGCCCGAGGCGTCTCGGGGCATGGTAAGACGAAAGCTTTGCGGCCGGTGATTCCACTTTTTATCAGTTTTAGGACGCACATGCACTGCACGACCACCATCGGGAGCTCCTGGCCCTCGTCGCAAGCCGAAGCAAAACTTGGCACTGGCTGGTCGTTGAACTAATGAGCGTTGATTGTCCTCTTTCAGCTTTATCACCGGGATATAATTCCTTGAACTGCTCCCGTCTTGTCTCCCCTTATGCCCGTGGTCGTCTTACTTCTATGAAGACCTACCTGATCGTCGTTATCACGTTAATCGCTCTGCGGACTCAATGAAGGGATTGACAGTTAATCAGTATGCCACTTTGGCTATAGGATACTGTGTTATATGCTTGGCAGGCTGTAAGAACACACCTTGGCAGCTAGGAGTCGGCTGGGCTGACGCGGCTGTCGGCTGGGCTGACGTGGCCGTCGGCTGGGCTGACGCGGCTGTCGGCTGGGCTGACGCGGCTGTCGGCTGAGCTGACGCGGCTGTCGGCTGGGCTGACGCGGCTGTCGGCCGTCTCTGCCGCAGATCGACACCGTGGTGGTGATGGGCTCTGGCGCCGGCACCTGGCAGCTGAGTCGCACGCTGGAGCTGTACCGCCAGCTGGTCAACCCCGGTTTGCAGTTCATCTCGATCGACCTCACGTGAGCGCGCCTGGGCGCCGTGGGGGGGGGGGGGGGGGGCGGTAGGATGACCGTTCCCGATCGGCCGGCCACTCTCGGGGCCTATCTGGCGCGGTCACTGTCGCACGCATCGGAAAGGCTGGGTCACTCTGTTGCCATTTTGGTGCCGTCTGCTCGCACTACCTGCGCCGTGTGTGGGTGTCCGTGCCGCGCCCAGCTGGAGGGCTTTCAAAGCCTACACTCCACCGCCCAGTATCGTCCCGCTCAACTGACCCGTCGATTGTCGTGGCGCGTGACGAGTAACAAATAGCACTGAATAAGAGCGGAGATTCAGCGGGATAAAACTTCGCCGAGTGATGAGGGTCCAGCCCCCAGACACCATCACTTTAAGGCGAGTGTGGCTCGCAGGCATGGTTGGACCTGTTGAGCTGGCGCGCTGGCTGGCTGCGCGGGGTGTGTGACCGGTGTCATGGCTAGCTGCGCGAGGTGTGTGACCGGTGTCATGGCCAGCTGCGCGGGGTGTGTGACCGGTGTCATGGCTAGCTGCGCAGGGTGTGTGACCGTTGTCATGGCTAGCCGCGCTGGGTGCGCGAACAGCGTCATGGCTGGCTGCGCGGGGTGTGTGACCGGTGTTACGGCTAGCTGCGCTGGGTGCGCGACCAGCGTCATGGCTGGCTGCGCGGGATGTGTGACCGGTGTCATGACCTAGCTGCGCTGGGTTGCGCGAACCAGCGTCATGGCTGCTGCGTCGGGGGTGTGTGACCGGTGTTACGGCTAGCTGCGCTGGGTGCGCGACCAGCGTCATGGCTGGCTGCGCGGGGTGTGTGACCGGTGTTACGGCTAGCTGCGCTGGGTTGCGCGACCAGCGTCATGGCTGGCTGAGCGGGATGCGTGACCGTTGTCATGGCTGGCTGCGCGGGGTGTGTGACCAGCGGTCATGGGTGGCTGAGTGGGATTTGACCGGTGTCATGGCTAGCTGCGCGGGGTGCGCGACCAGCGTCATGGCTGGCTGAGCGGGGTGCGTGACCGTTGTCATGGCTGGCTGCGCGGGGTGTGTGACCAGCGTCATGGGTGGCTGAGTGGGGATGTGACCGGTGTCATGGCTAGCTGCGCGGGGTTGCGCGACCAGCGTCATGGCTGGCTGAGCGGGATGCGTGACCGTTGTCATGGCTTGGCTGCGCGGGGTGTGTGACCAGCGTCATGGGTGGCTGAGTGGGATGTGACCGGTGTCATGGCTAGCTGCGCGGGGTGCGCGACCAGCATCATGGCTGGCTGAGCGGGATGTGTGACCGGTGTTATGGCCTCTCCAGGCACACCGGACACGTGGACAACCATCTGCTGGACGACCCTCGCAACATCTCGCTCTTCGGCTTCAGCGACCAGATCCTGCGGTGAGTCAGTCCGCCGCAGCGGCGGGTGCGACTGTTGCCGTCCACGTGTTCCCTCTTTCTCGCCCGTGGGGTGTGCCTGCTCAGCATTCTCTGGCCGCTGGTGAACGTGCGCCTTTTCTGCAGGCCCCATTTGCCGTCCCTGTCACTTGCACATTGCCCGTCCACTGAAATGCTCATCCCTTGATACCTGTCGCGCTTTGGGGTGATTGACCCTTTTCGCTTCAAGTGCCACTCTTCTCGCATTCCTCCGAACCCCTGTGCAGCTTCCCTCTCTGTGTGATCAACTTGACTTGTTCACGATCGACTCTCACCATCATTCCCATGTCTCCGTTTTTAGGTGTTTTGTAGCACATATGAGCGAGTGACTCACTGCGCTGCCATGGCTCCGAGGATCTGTGTTCTGGGCGGCCGGCGGCTCCTGGTGGCCGCCGCGCCGGCGCCGCCCGCTGCAGCCCGGGTTCCCTAGTGTCCTGACGCCGGTCGCGCTGCGTGACCCCGCCCGCCGCCGGCCGGCAGGTTTGTGGCCGAGCGCGGCATCACCGGCCAGCTGGCGGCCGTCGACGCCATCGACGTCAAGTACAACCTGCGCCGCGACATCCGGCTGCCGGCCATCAACCTGCGCGAGGCCATCCTAGCGTCGGAGGGCGGCGTCGGCGTGGCCAGGTGGGTCGGCCAGATCGAGGACTGCGGGTGCTTTGGGAGCACGCTTGAGCACGGCGGCAGCTCTAGAGCGCCAGCCGTGTGCATTAGATGTTCTGAGGGCTCCGCAAAGCTTGGCGGGCACTCTGAGAGTACGGCCGAACACAGTGGGTACTCTGAGACCACGGCGGGTTTCTCTTCGTGCTACCACGAGTTTACCAGACTGACCTGATGCTTATCAAAGTACATACATTGCACCTCAGATGGATTTTTGCATTCTTAATATTTTCGTGGGCTGAACTCAGCTCCAACTCGCCGCCTTTACACGATGACTTGTATTAACTAGACGGCTCCGTTGGCGCATGTCACCATGCATGAACACGGCGAGCGTCACGCCGCCGTGTCGGCTGCCCGTCGTCTCCGGTCGCCTCGCTGCAGCGCCCCGCCTGGCCGACAGGTGGCGCACCGTGCGCGTCTTCATCTCGTCCACGTTCGTGGACATGCACGGCGAGCGGGACCTGATCATCCGCCACGTGATGCCCGAGCTGCGCAGCCGCGCGCGCGCCCTCCGCCTCGACCTGCAGGTGGTGGACCTGCGCTGGGGCATCACCGTCGAGGACGCCGCCGCCGCCAGGTCAGCCGCCAGACGCGGGCGCGTCGCCGCTGATGCTGTGGCTGGCTCGCTGATGCCGCTAGTAACTCGCCGATGCTGTTGGTGACTCGACGATACCGTAGGTGGCTCGCCGATGTCGTTGGTGACTCGGCGATACTGTTAGTAACTCCGCCGATGCCGTTGGTAACTCGCCGATATCGTTGGTGGCTCGCCGATGCCGCTGGTAGCTCGCCGATGCCGTTCGTGACTCACCGATACTGCTGGCGACGCGCCGGCGGAGGTCGGTCCGGTGATGTCGATGTTGTGTGCCGATGCCGAGCGGCGCCCCGTGCGGTGCGGAGCCGTCAGCCGTCAGCCGCTGGCGCGATTGCAGCACACCCCGCGGACCGGCGACCGGCCGTCGGAGCGCGCTAGTGACAGCCGGCCCTTGCTGGCTGACGCGCTCCGCCGCGCCGCCGCCCCCAGGCAGGTGGAGCTCTGTCTGTCCGAGATCGACCGCTGCCAGCTGTTCGTGGGTCTGCTGGGCGCACGCTCCGGCCGCGTGGCCGACACAGAGGCGCGTGACGGAGCCGCGCCTGCTGGAGTTCCTGTCCGCCCAGACGGCCGACCTCTCGCTCACGGCGTTGGAGATGCTGTACGCCACGCGGGAGCCGGAGCGGGCCCGCCAGATGGCCGTGTTCTACCAGCGCGAAGACAGCTTCCTCAGGTCGGCGGCGTTGCGACGCGCGCGGGGCGACGGTGCACCTCGTGCGGGTTAGGTCGAGGTGGGGCGGGGGGATGAGGGGGTGTGCTGTTCTCTGAGCTGTGTGTGACTTGCGTCGGCGCTGCTGTGGCCTCAGCGCAGAGGTGGGGCTGTACTCAGGTCAGTGCTGAAGTGAGAAGTACCGGTAGAAACTGGTCACCAGTAACCTGAAATCGAGCCAGTAAGCGGTCATGGAGGGTTTTTAGTGACCTTAGGCATGTGTGCAATCGACGCACCGCGCTCCCTGGCTTCATTGTTAACCACCTGTGCAAGCTCCGTCTGCCCTCTCTCGACAGCGGAGTCCCCGGCCACTTCATGGAACAGTTCTCGGATCTGGCGGCGGGCCGCCGCCGCGTGGCCCACCTCCAGGCCGAGATTCAGTCCCGCGGCTGCGCCATCACCAAGTACAGCGCCAACTTCGGCAGCCTGGGAGGCGGCAGGCACGGCGCCCTCGCTCTGCAGACGTTTGGCGAGAACATCATGAAGACACTGTGGAACACGTTGCAGTCGCTCTACCCCCTGGAGGTCAGTGCGGCCTCCCAGATGGTCACCGCCGGCCACGGCAGACGCTCTTCGTTTCGTCTGTTTGTGTGGCGTGGCGACTGGCTGGATCCCACCAGCGCTCGCAGCCGACCTGTGGGGCCGACCGTTCGCTGCGCCGGCAGGCGACGACATGCGACCTGGTGACCGAGGAGTACACGCTGCAGCACGAGTTCGGCCTCGCCCAGAAGCTGGTGGGACGCCAGGGCCGGCTGGCCACGACCGTGGAGCTGGTGGAGCGGGGTCAGGGCCGTATCATCCTGGTGGCCGGCAAAGCTGGCAGCGGCAAGACCTGCTTCGTGGTGAGACGACGCGCCGGAGCGCGGCGGGCGGACGTTCAGATGGGGCGCTGGCCTCTGCCGGGCGGACGGGACCGTGCGACCCTGTGCGGGGTTTGGCCGTGTCATCGTGCTGTTTTGGGATGGCATGTTTTCTGTATGGGCTGGAAACCAGCCAACTCAAGCCATTGGAGGCACTTCGTGATTAGTGTTGGCGTCTCTGCTAGTTAAATCGCCCAGGCACACTCCAGGTCGGAGCCCCCCCCCCCCCCGACCATCTTCCTGTAACCAGGCTCTCAGTTTCATAGTGGGCTTATCACGGGCCGCCGTTCATCCAGCCAGATGTCGATGTGTTGGGTCTGCGCACGTCCCCAGGGCCGCGTGTACAGCCAGCTGTCCGAGTGCTCGGACCACCTGAGCCGCCTCCTGGTGCCGGCCTTCTGCTCGGCGGGTGTGCAGTGCGGCTCGTCGGCCGGCCTGCTGGCCTACCTGCGCGCGCTGCTGGCCCGCCAGCCGCTCTCGGCCGCGCCGCGTCACCAGCTGGCCGCCGAGCTGGTCGAGCTGCTGGCCGTGCGCGGCCGCCGCCAGCACGTGGGTGCTGGTGCTGGACGGACTGGACGCCCTCTGGCAGGCCGAGGGCGAGGCTGCCGTCGACTGGCTGCCTATTGAGATGCCCAAGGTACGCACTTCGTTCAGGCGTCCGAGGTACGCACTCTGATCAGGCGCCCGAGGTACGCACTCTGATCAGGCGCCCGAGGTACCCCCTCCGATCAGGTACCAGGGTACTCACCCGATCAGGTGCCCGAAGTATGCCGTCCGATCAGGCGACCGAGGTACGCTGTCGATCAGGTGCCCGGGGTACTCACCCCGATCAGGTGCCCGAGATGCCGCTGTCCCGATCAGGTGCCGGAGGTGCACTATCTGACTTTTAGGGACGATTCTACGTGGTCGAAACTGGTCAACTTTTTGAATAATTGTCATTCTGGTGATATGTTGATGAAACTGGCACGTTTGTTTGATATGGTATTGGAACGTGACGTGAGTTTTTAAGACGTCTGCTGCGTGCAAGCGAAACACAAATACTTGAAGTGTCACTATGCCGCCATTTTTTGCTAAGGAGTCGAGTAAGGTCACCTGAGGTCAGCCCGCGCCGCCGTTTACCAGCCGCGTGTTTGTCCGTCGACAGAATGTGACGCTCCTGATAAGCGCCGACGAGGGCAGCGCCCTGTATCGCCGCATCAACTCCAAGCTCATGGTGACGTCAGTGAACCTCGGTAAGGAGGCAGCCTGGGCCCCGTTCTTCATCAATAACTGAAGCCCATCCCTTGCTTCGGGTAAACCCATTCCTTACATATGACGGCACGACCCAAGCACATTGCCGCCTCGCCCGAGAGGCGAAGTGGGTGGGCTTGTTTACGAGGAAGTCGTCGGTGTTGACATGGCAACGCATAGCAGCGGTCTATACGCTGTTGACGGCCACGTATGTCCGGGAAGTACGCAAGTCTCGATCTTATATGGAATGTGTGATTGATTATTTTGTTCGATTGATAACGATGTAGTTAGCCACAGATCACTTGCCAAAGCTTTTATTCGAATAATTTTTCGGCGTGCCATTCCTGCGTGCTGTATGTCTTGATGGGGTTGGATTGATTTTACTTGTATCCATGTTTGGAACTGAACGCGTTCCCTATTGATCTTTATCCATTACGCCACCTCAGTGGGCAGAGTCAAGTCAGTGGGAAACCGGGTCGTAAGTCAATGGGAAACTGAGCCAGGGCGCCTGGTGCCCGGCCTGTAACCCGGCCAGAACGCAGCGGCTCCTGTCTCCCGTGACCTGCGCTGTATGGCGCAGATTGTGGTGCGACGTTGAGGCGGGCGTGGGTACATTACTTGTGCGGAATATATGCATTTAGGTATATTGTTTGTGCATCTTCATTCCATATTTTGCTATAAAAATGTTTGAAGGACAGGCACCGTATCGTTTTGGCTTATGGAACGAATCTGTAGTTTTTAATAGCACATGACAGTTATACCATAAAACATTTAGCGGAAGAGGTTTGCATGTTTGCACCACATGTCGTACCTAGTACTGTTTGTGTGCGAGACAGAGGACAACCAGGCAATCAATCTGCCGTTTGCTGCTCGAACCCGGGTTCTCATAGGGGAGGGGGGGGGGGGGGGGCGGCGTTCGAATCCCGGTGGCCCCATCGACTTCTAAACGCTCATATCGCTACTGCAGTCGCTGGCGTTTCATAAAGAGTGCGCGGCCATGTGTGTTGCGTGGGTCGCGTTCCCTTACACACAACCTGAAGTGCGCGATCCATGGTGTGCCAGGCCACAGGCTCTGAAGACATTCCGTTAGGCACCCTGTGACCTCTGGGCTGCCTCCGACCCGTGACCACCCTGGGACCCGCAAGCACCCTCTGACCACTCGCTGACGGGTCCGCCCGGCAGGCACACTCAGCCTTTCCGAGCGCGCCGGCTTGGTGCGCGAGATGCTGCAGCACCACAGCAAGACACTGGAGGAGAAGGCGTGGAACAACCAGCTGCGCACGCTGACGTCCAAGCGCGGCGCCTGCGACCCGCTCTACCTGCAGCTGGCCTGCGAGGAGCTGCGCACCTTCGGCGAGTTCGACCAGGTCAGCTGGGGCTGCACTGGGGTGTCTGGTCTTTGATTGGTCGCACTGGTTAAGCCGTCGGTTCACGCCCCCCCCCCCCCCCCCCCGTCCGCTTGGCGGTGGATGGCGTTGAATTGTGACAGCCTTCTGCTACAGTGATAGTGATACGTTCTAAAACGTGCTAGCATTGCTGTCGGTTATTTGAACGCTGCAGGGGACGAATGTGTTTCATATCAAAATGGAATCACATATTTCTATCAGAGTAAGATTGGTGCCCATGTCACTTGGGTACGTGATACAACGGTCGTGAAGGTTAACGACGCCAATTTCATTAACTGACCTTGCGTAACTTTAAACTTGAGTGGCGCCTAGATTTGGCAGGGTCATTAGCGAAGTCTGCATAGACAGTTGACATGGTGAACACTTCTGGTGATTCCATTGCGAAACAAAGGTATTGTTCAGCGCCGATGCCACATGTCATCCAAATGCATCCAATACTATCGAAGCCTGATGCCGATCCTTCCGAATGCCGGGAGGTAACTCATGAGAATCAGAGGGGTTTGCACTCGGCCAGCGCCGACCGGTGTTGGGAACGACGGCCGCCTGACCGTCGGTGGGTGGTGCCGTGTGAACCGCGTCGGGCGTCCCCCGCCGCCGTGGCCGCGCAGTCACGGACCGCGGCGCGCCCCTCTCGTCGGCAGCTGAGCGCCAAGCTGGCCTCGCTGGGCCAGACGGTGCCGGCGCTGACGCAGGACGTGATCGGCCGCCTGGAGGAGACCTTCGACGGCCAGCTGGTGCGGCTGGCGCTCGGCGCGCTCACCATCTCACAGCACGGTACGCCGCCGGCGGCCTGCGGACCGCCGCTGCCGCGCTGATTGGGCGGACCGCCGCCGCCGCGCTGATTGGGCGGACCGCCGCCGCGCGCTGATTGGGCGGACCGCCGCCGCCGTCGCGCCGATTGGGCGGACCGCCGCTGCCAGGCTGATTAGGCGGGCCGCCACCGCCAGGCTGATTAGGCGGGCCGCCGTCGTCGCGCTGATTGGGCGGACCGCCGCCGCCACGCTGGCCTGGCGGGCCGCCGCCGCCAGGCTGGCCCGTTGGTTGGATCACTGGAAATGTCTCACGTGACTGGATTGCTGGATTGCATGCACTGCTGTAGAGGGATGTTAGCGTCAGGCGAGAGGACAGAGTCAGGCTTCCGGTTTCGAAGCTGAATCCGAGGTCACGACAATGATGTGAATCGAAGCCGAACCCGGATGATCAAAGTTTTGAGCTGCGAGGTCTGAGTCGAAGCCAGTGGCTACGTATTTTTAAAACTCGAATAGGATTCCGAAGCCAGTAGCCTCGAATCCGGACATGCGAAGGCGAAGCCGCAACCAGAGGCTTCGAACTAAGGTTTGTCTCTGGCTTCGCGTTTCCTAAGTCCAAAACCTCTCAGTTTGAAATTACCAAACGGAATCCGAAGCCGAGTCTTATGTACAGCGTGATTTTCTGGAATCAAAGCTATGTTCCCATATGCTTAAGTTGCGTGCAATCAAGAAATATCGTAAGGTTTTTGGAAGTGACTGAGGCAAAGTGTTAGCATTAGAGATGAGAGATTTTCGGGACGATCGTCCTGTTGTGTGCTACAAGGTGTACAACGTTTCAGACTGGTAGTTCCCCGGCTGACGACAGGTTCCGCCAAGCAGGCATTATGACCTTGAAAAATTGTTTGGTATGTCAGGGTTACAGGACGGGCAAGATTGTGGAGTAAAACCGCAAATGCATGGACAAATCACCATGAGAATACCGAGTCCATCAGTTCAAGATGGCGTGGAGCCGAAGGCTGGGCCTTAATTTAAAACTTCTTCGTAGCCAAAGTAGAAGCCGAAGCAACTTAAAAATTTCACAAAGCTGAAGCCCAAGCCACCGTTTCAAGTGGCACGAAGCCGAAGCCGAAACCAGCCGTGGAAAATAGCTCCAAGTCGAAACCGAATTTGAGACCATTAGCGAAGAACCGCAGCTTTGCAAAGCCCAAGCGGAAACTGGCCTCGTCCCCATGCCTGGCTGGCATTACCTGTTACCGGATAAGCGCTTATCACTTTTATTTCGCGGGTCCTGTATTGGATAAGAGTGAATGCGCTGTTCTAAAGGGCTGATGGTTGGCGACGTAAATGTGAGGAGAGCGAAGTGGACTACGGTCGCCCTGTTCTGTGCTCTCGCCTGCTCGGGTGCCATGCTCGGGCGTACTTTCGGCGGCCAGCCGATGAACGTCGGAGCATTCGTATGGTCGACCGACAAGCCGAGGATGACCGTGGTGAATGTTACCAGCAGCTGTGGGTATCGCGCGTGGCTGGATGGTCGGCGTCAGCCGCGCTGTGCAGGCCGTGTCCGCCTGACGGGCGCTGGACGACGCGGCGGGCGGCGGCGTCCGCGCGCCTGGCGGCGGTATGCCGGCCACGCACCGCTGATACCATCCGCTGCCGGCCAGGTCTGGCCGAGGACGAGCTGTTCGACTTCCTGAAGGAGCAGTCGCGTGCCTGGTCGCCGCAGCCGCTGACCCAGTTCACGTTCACCAGCCTGCTGAGGTGGGTGCGGCGGTGGCTGCCGCGGAGCCTGAGCGGCGCTGCTGCGCAGCGGAGGCTTGCCGCCGGATCCGGAGCCGGGCCGGGCGCAGTGGACGTTGCTGCGTTGACGGGCGTGAGGGCGATGAGGGAGGATAGGGAGGAACGGCTGTCCCGAAACGTGAGGGTGTTGTGGGAAAGACACATGTTTAATTATTTATTATTATTTACGCTCCTATATATTATTAGTCATTTCTTTATTTAGTAGTTACTTATTTATTTACTATTTAGCTCTTATAACAGTTGAGGCATTTTTTATGAAGAAGCTTGCGCGGCGAACTCGGTGCTGCGATGACGGGTGTGAGGGCGATAAGGGAGGGTAGGGAACAGCGGGTGTCCTGCAACGTAAGGGTTATGAGGGAGGATGGGAAAGAACGGCTGTCCCGAAACGTGAGGGCGATGTGGGAGAAATATTATGTATTTAGTTATTTATGATCCTTTAAGTTTTTATATAATGCCAGTTATTTCTTCATTTAGCATTTACATCTTTATTTTACTTATTTATTTATTTCTTGTTTGGTTCTTATAACTTGTGAGACATTTCCTACTGAAGAAGCTTACGCTTCGTGAGAACTCGGCTACACTGATAGGACTGGGAATCGCTTTATCCAGTGATATCCAGATTATACCAGCATTCAAACACCCTGGAAACGAAATGCCGGTGATTACATATAAAAAGATCAGTTACTAAGAGGTGCAGCTGTCCATTCTAATATATATATATATGTGTGTGTGTGTGTGTGTGTGTGTGTGTGTGTGTGTGTGTGTGTGTGTGTGTGTGTGTGTGTGTGTGTGTGTGTGTGTGTGCGTGTGCGTGTGCGTGTGCGTGTGCGTGTGCGTGTGCGTGTGCGTGTGCGTGTGCGTGTGCGTGTGCGTGTGCGTGTGCGTGTGCGTGTGCGTGTGCGTGTGCGTGTGCGCGTGCGCGTGCGCGTGCGCGTGCGCGTGCGCGTGCGCGTGCGCGTGCGCGTGTGCTGTGCGTGTGCGTGTGCGTGTGCGTGTGCGTGTGCGTGTGCGTGTGCGTGTGCGTGTGTGTGTGTGTGTATGTGTGTGCGTGCGTGCGTGCGTGCGTGCGTTTGTGCGTGCGTGCGTGTGTGTGTGTATTCGCACACTGGTAAGATACGTTCTTTTGAACATATTTCATTAAAGACCAAAGAATTGCGGGCTTTCTGTTTTCTGTTGATTTATGTTAATTCGCTGCTCTCTGTTGATTCGTTCAGTGTTTCTAAACAGCTTTTCGTGACGGGTGGAAGTACAAAGATTGAATTACTAACGTTAATGGTATAAAATATTGTTTTGTCGTATATTCATTAACGTTACATTACGGTTTGATCCTTAAACTGTTATCAAACGGGCATGATTTGTCATACACGATCCAAAGAACATTTCATACATATTCGATGATTGGAATGAAAAACCACAACGTAGCTTATGAAATAAGCTTAGCACGCCTGAGTTCAAAAAGCTAACTTGAACGTTTCAGCACCTATGCAGACGCTCGTAGCACCCTTTCACGCACTTCACGTATGCTTCACGTGCCCTACAAATGGGGGGCTCCAATCTATCCACAAAATCCCAGTGTAACGCAAAAATCAAGCTGTTGGTTGAGTGGTGGGGCATGTTGGCGAATGGGTATGGCTTTAAATGTCATCAGCCGTGCTTTTTGTGTTGTGTTTTGATGGTTGTTGTGTTTTTGGTGAGTTGCTTGCCTGTCAATATTGTTTGGTGGCACTGGGCCATGTTTTGTTTTTAGCCCTGTCTCGAAGATGCGCAATAAGTCGCATGGACAGAGAAGTAGTTGCGACGCCAATTAAGTTTATCACACGAAACATACAGTCCTTGTACGGACGGGAGTATTGATCAACCACAAAGGTGCATGTTAAAAATGTCAGTTTCGGCTGTCATATTGTTCTTGATCAGAAGGCTGCTTGGATTTCTGTTGCTGTTAGTTGAAGGTTGAAGGTGATCTGTCGTGCTGGCGCATGTCACGTTCTCTGGGTTGATTCCCTGAATGATGCGCTCGTTCAGTTTGCATGATGACGACATGCGATTGCAAGAGAAGAGTTAAATCATGTTTGTGGCCGTTTTGTCAGGGCTTTGGTTGTCAAGCCTCGTTCAACTTGCTCGTGTATTTGCATCGATGTCTGCAGTGGAAAATCTGTCGTGGACGATAGCAATCTGTGCGTGTATTAATTCCCACGCAGAGCAGTTTTTAACAGCTCTCCTTGTGAAGGCCCTGATCACGTTAGTTTTGTACAAAGCAGGAATCGTCCCGCATCTGTAGGCTTCCGATGAACTAATGTTTTGACAAATTCGCTACGGCGGGAGTTAACCAGCACGTCAAGAAGAGGTAGCTTATTGCGCACGCTGAACTCGAAGGCGATTTTAATACATAATTGGTTTGCATGCTTTCGATGATGCTGTGTAGTTGTTCGATTTTACTTATATCAACGAAGATGTCGACATGCCCGCCGTAAATGTTGGGTCTATATTTTGGTCATCAAGAGCTTTGCTTTCAAGTTCGCGCAAATGAGAGCGCAGAGTGGTCCTAGAGGTGATCCCATGGCTATGTCGTCCTTTCGAAGGTACAGCTGTCAGGCCCATGAAGCGGTAATAATGTTGTGCATGCAAGCAAGAGTTTTCCGACCTTATTTCCAGGGAGTTTTAAAGTGATAAGTCAGGATGGTTAGAGATTTTCAAAATTATGGAAGGGATAGACAAGGTGGATTTTCAAGGGACGCTGGAACTAGGCTCAGACTTAGAGCAAACCAGCTTCAACAAGCAAAAGTTAGGAATAGAACTGTGGAGAGGCAGATGCCATTTAGTCACAGAGTAATGAATCATTGCAATGGGCTGTCAAACGAAGTTGTACGAAATCACTCTCGAGCAACATTGAAAATTGTTTGGACATGCTCTGTCGGTCTAAGGATTTCATCTATAGCTTAATTCAGGCAGGTTAGGTGGTAAGATGTCGAGGATGTGCAAAACCCGAGGAAGGCCAGCCCCGGTGGGCTCTAGTGGCTCTCTGTTGGCCCGATGTATTTATGCCTTTATGCCTTTTAGACCTCATGTTCTGCTTTCTTGTCAAGGGGGTTGTAATTATTTTGATCATGACATTCAAGACCAAGATCGTGTCAGGCGTCGTGTCCTGGGCCCACAATGGCCAAAAACAGGATACACTCTACTTATTGCAATCACATGTCATCATCATGCAAAGTGGACGAATGCGCCATTCAAGAAATGATCCAAGACAACGCGACATGCGCCAGCACGACAGATTATCTTCAACTGACCATTTATTACAGGAACAAGTAAGCCACTGATCAAGAACAATATGACAGCCAAAGTTGACATTTTTAACATGCACTAATGTAGTTGATCAATGTCCCTGTCCGTGCGAAGATTGGAGGTTTCGTGGGGCAAACTACATTAGCGTCACAGCTACCTCCCTGTCCAGGCGGCCTCCTATGCATCTTCGAGACGGGGCTGCAAAACAACACGTGACTCAGTGCCACCAAACAATATTGACAGGCAAGCAACTTACCGAAAACACAACGACCATTAAAGCACAACGCAAAAATCACGAATGATAGCATTAGAAACCCCAGTCATACCCAGACATGTCCCAGCACTTAACAAACAGCTTAATGCTTGCGTTCACTGAGATTTTATGGAAAGATAGGAGTCCCCGATTTGTGGGCCACTTAAAGTATATGTGAAGTGCGTGAAAATTTACCACCAAGGCCCCAAGTTTACCACGAGGGTTTGCATATGTATTGAAACCTGTTAACTGTAGCTTTTTGAACTGAGGCGTACTAGACTTATTTCATAAGATGCGCCGTTTTTTCATTCGAATCATCGAATATGTTTGAAGTGTTCTTTCCACCGTGTGGACATATCCTATCTGTTTTATAATCGTTCAAGGATCAGACCGAAACGTAAAGTTTCGGTGAATACACGGCAAATACGCAACCTTTTTATGAGACATCCTGACGATTTGGTCTTGGGACCTCAACCCGACAAAAAGGCTGATTGGAAACGTAGAACAAATCAACAGAAACCTTGCCAAGCCCCAAAACTCCGCGGCATGTAATGAACTACGTTTTAAAGAATGTATGTATATATATATATATATATATATATATATATATATATATATATATATATATATATATATATATATGAGTGTGTTCATGTATGCGTATTTGCATAGATATGATGTAAGCTCCACCTCATACTACCAATGACATGTGACCGCTGTGCTCATTACGCAGCGAATGCGGTATGCGCCTGAGATTCGCATCATTATGAATAAGCTGGTGCCTTTGCCTAATGCTCGGGCATCACCAAATTGACCAGCTGACCAGAGCCGTCATTGCTGCCGTCCCCGCGCTGCCTGAGGCACGCGGTTGCCATGGAGATTTATAATGTCTTGGCGTGATCTTGGGACAGGTGGACGCTAATGAGCGGTAACTCCCCGGTTTATCTCCTGGAATCAGTAAGCTGAGCTCAGCAGCGTAGCTTACATGTGGACAGGGCCAGGTGATACGCGCTGTGCTTCACAGGATCTTGTATCGCGACGGCCTGGCGTCCTGATCCGGATTGTGATTGCCGTACCGCACAGGAAGTAAACGCAACAGGGCTAAAAGTAAACGCAAAGGCAATCCCAGCGCAGAAACTAAACGATAACAGTTATAGCAATGGCAGGAGTCCGTGTGACGATGCAAATTGATCAAAGAAACCTAACTGATAGCATAGCAGTGAATTTACAATAAGGAAACAGCTAACGGCCAAAACGAGCTGTGATGGCGGCGGACCACTACGAGCATAATGCCGGACTACAAATGCGTTATAAATATGGTACAATACCTCACACATCGCCAGATGAGGTGATATTGGCCGCAATAATGGCGGTGCAATTTGGAAAGACCGCGTCCTTAGAAAAATTTGACTATGATTGTCATCGAAAGGCATGACTGTTTCAGAATATTTCATCCACTTATTTCATATTTTAAGCTAATCGCCAGCCGAGAACATGTACTCCACTTGCAGGCGACGTCATGCGAGGCAACACAGAAGATACCAGTAAATTAACGCTGCATCGTATCCAATTCTGTGAGAATTTGTCGCACCTGCTGCAAGTGTGCCCGCAATGCTTTACAGCAGGTCAATCATTCGCGAAATGTCTCGATGGAATTAAGGCCATTGACGACGGCTTCTGTGGTGCTTCTGTGAGGGCTTCCCAAGTTCGTGCGGTAGTGACAATTCCTCGATTGGCGCGAGGGGCTGCATTGCGGACACCAGGTGTAGTGGTCTGTTTTTAAAAAGGAAAACCCCCGGCTGATACCGAAGGCACGTATATCCTGTTCCTTTCTATTGTTCGGTCTCGATGATAACATACCTTGGTGTAGCTGTCGGACCAGAACGTGATTGGCAGTAGGTGGCATTTATTGGGTTTAAAGTCAGACTCCATCTGTGGGATCACACCTCCAGACGACGAAGGCCCCGTTGCAACGGCTGTCCGTCGTCTGGGGATCTAGCTTTGTGGAAGCCTCAGTATCGGCAGCTGGATGCAATGGTAGGTGGAAGGTCGTTGCCACATTTGATAACATATAAAGAAACGTTGATAAATGGAGAGAGGAACGACGGGACGAAAATATGCTCTGCAGGAGGCATTGAAATTCGCTAAATTCCAATAAATTTTGCTCTGTTGATAATGACCCTCTGGGGTCTTTTAGAGACACGATACAAAAAAGCGTAGTAGAACGTCCTATAACGGAAGAAATGGTCCAGTTTGTGGAGGATGAGCTGATGAAGCATGCTTTTAAAAGTGGGCATATATGCGAAAGTGGATGTGTGTGGGGGGATATCGTACACGGAAGCGTGATGTGGGTATAGGTGTAAGTTTAGCGTATAGTAAGAGTAAAAAAGCAAACGTATATGGCATCTGCCTAGGATCCGTCTGATGACGCCTCTTACGCCGAGTGGAGACAAACGGCCTCGGCTTCGACGCCGCAGAATTGCAGTTTTTCTACAATGACCTGATCTTTGGCTTCGGGTGTAAGCCATCTTCGAGGGCTGGCTCCGGCTTCGGCGTCGTGCCGCTTGAAATGTTGACTTTTGGCTGAGGCTTCGGTGTTTCGACAGGTCGGGAGAGTGCCTGCTGCAGCGGTCGGCGGCGCCCGGCCAGCCGGCGCTGTTGCGGGTGGCGCACGCGGAGATGGCTCGCGTCATCCGCTCCCGCTACATGGCCGGGCCGCAGGGCCCTGCCGCAGTGCGCGAGCTGGCCCAGCAGCTGGCAGGTACGTCCGTCGTCCCCACAGGGATTTAACGTTGCATTCAGTTGGATGGTCATATTCAAGACAACGATTACAATTACACGCATATGCTGACACTCAGTTCATATATAACAGTTTGGTTTTCATCGCATTTGTACGAAAAACTTGCTACAAACATATAAAGTAGATATGTAATTTGCATGCCACATGGTCGTATTCAAGGCATATTTCTTCGCGGTGACAATTGTTTGATTTACATTACAGTTACCTGTTTACATTTTTAACACAGCGGCTACTTTTACGTCGGCTGTATTGTATACGCTGGTCTGCATGTCAGTTCAGTTGGACGGGTAGCTGACCTGGATGTCTTGTTGCATAGTTACACAAATATATACAATCCCGTGTGGGTGGAGCGCATCACTTAGCTATAGTCTATGGTGTCACTTTGCCTGGGTACGCAGCCAAGTGGAAGTGGACGACGTCTTCACGTAATCACGTCCTATTGCTTCATTATCAAAGCGCTTTTGGTCGCAGCCGTTTTGTCGAAGAGCAACAGAGGTAAATGCCGGTCGGTGCGGGCGCCGCTGCGCGAAGAGCGGGTGCTGCTGTACGGCATGTCCTGCTTATATCTATTGGACGTCTCAAGGGCGTCAGCGTTCCATGAACAACGCTATTTTGTAAAACTGGGTGTATTGAGCTGGAGGCGCGGAAAGCAGAATACAGACGTTTTTTAAGATGAAAGCGTCTGTGCCGAGTGCCAATAATTTCATTTTATTTTCAATTTTCATTTTATTTTTCACAACATTTTGTTTGTTGCAAATCAAATTTCATTTTAGACAGTTACCAGTTTCCCATCTTTTTGGACCTTTCACTTATTGTTACATCAGACGCGTACGATTCGATTAGTAATGCCAGTGTTCTCGATATTCTTCTCAATAGCTCAGAATTCCTTTTTGAAGTCCTCGACGCTGCGGAAGAAATCTCACCTGACTGCCGCTTACTACAATGAAAGTAATACAATTAATTTCCATTACCTTTTGCAACATCTGCATTGTTTGCAGTACCCTAATGTTTTTAAGTGTTTGTGTAATAAATGCTACGAAAGCTTGAAACGCTGTTTAGACAAATGATGTGCCAACATTAAACCATTATCCCGTGAAGTTCACGAAACGTTATACTGTGGCTTTGATATCTCACCTATGGTGTTTACCGCAATAGGTCTTTTTGGGGCGTACTTCGGCTTTAGGAATGGAAGTATCAAATGATCCACGTGGCGCACTTGTTCAAACTTCAGCCCATGCGTTTCTCGGTAACAACCCTTGCCCGTTGGCCCGATGACAAACGTCCTTTTGTTCGCACCCGGAGAGTTGTCATAGGAAGGTATCTATTGTTTATATTGTTTATAAAGGTGTTTATATTGTTTATTCGCACGGTAGTTGTCATAGGAAGGTGGTCGCAGGGAAGGGAAAAAGAATGCAGGTAGGAAGCATAGTGCTGTTTAAGGCGTTTACAGCGCAATTTGTACTAAAAAATAATCAAAATTCATATCCGTATTATGTCTTGACGGTACTGCAGTCGCACTACCCGGTGTTACTAGAAGACGTGATTTGTCCTGAGATTTCACTAGAGTATGTTTTGAAACACGCCACAATGGCGGTACACTACCTTTAATCCTCGTCAAACGGTTCCGACCACGAGTACTTGGATACAACAAAATTATCTGGCCTCCATTGCCAGCATCAGTCGGATGTCCCCTACAAACATAGAACCTAGATTCAGTGCTGTTCGCATCGCTTGGCGTCGCGCCGCGTCGGCCAACACTGGTGCTGTGGTCTGCGACCGACACCGGTGCTGTGGCCTGTGGCCGGCACCGGTGCTGTGGCAGACACCGGTATACGACGTACACGTGGATTGTCACAAAAGTTGAACCCGTCGATGTGCAAGCTTCTCACTCATCCGAGCAGCCATCTGTGCTGTGCGTGTGCTAAAAATGTGTGCACGCGGACAAGCATACATGCAAACAGACGCACGCCCCCGATTTGACATACGCTGCTGATAGTCCCCACCGTCCAACGCCGAATGCGAGCTCTGAGCTGCTAATCTTTGTTCAGAGTCCGTGCCAGAAACCGGCGCTATTTTACCCCAGTGCGTCGCCGGTGTTTCCCGCGGATGTCAGGAATGCAGACGGGCATGTCATTACGTTTAATCTTTGGCGATGAGGGTGGCAGGTGACGGAGGGATTTTACATGGCCGACAAACCGTAACCTTGTACATTAACACCCGCGTTGACCGTCCTAAAAACGTCTCATTGATGTCATCAGTAATCTGTGACCTCGTGATGTTCAAAACAATTTGGGCCGAAACGTGTTGATTTATGTCTAAATTATAACATTTATGACTCATATTGAGCTGATTTCGGTCAACGAGGACATACTTATCGCACACACAATCTGTACAGACTACGAGACGAACCAGAAATCAGGTGTATGTGAAATTTGCAACATGTTCGATGCATGGACGGTCGATAGGTAATTCCCGGGCCCATTTGTTTGGCCAGTGCAGCTGAATTTACGTTGTCTTTGACTCCAACCACAGCATTCACGGAAATCCCAGCATCTTGGGCAAATGTGTCATAATTCATTGAACCATACTCAGGCACGGCTTCCGTTACCCTCGGGGCCCGTATTGGCCCTCTTATCTTTGTTGTGCCCCAGTGGCGTGAATTCCAGTCCGACTTTTAAAAGACTGTCATGGTCGCTTCCCCGCGGATCACTCGCTTCAACAATGATCGGGCAGCGCCGAGTTGGGGACGCCATACGCAGACGGTACATATCCCCATGTGGTGCAGCTGGCTTCAAATCCCATCTGTTCTAGTTCCCGACATCTGTTGTCAATCCCGAAACCAATCAGAAAAGTTCATCCATGGCTGTGCTCAAGCGAGCGCAACCTGCAGAACGAAGAGACTTCGTTTATATCAGAAAATTTCATTTTTGTCTACCCTGACATTTATGAATCCCGTGTGAATGCGTCCCCAGGTCGTCGATATTTTCAGGCGTGTCGACCCGTGGCGCGCAGATTTTGCGTGATTCGAAGATTTGACGCTGAGGGTGCCGATGGTGTAGTGATAAACATGTTTGCGTGGGCGTCGGTGAAAGCACTGCGCGTCGGGGAAGCCAGAGGTACGGAGCTCGACTCCCCGCGGCGCTCGCCCATCTTGCCAGTGTCAGGCAGGCGACGCTATGTGACCATATAACCGTAACGATGCACTCAGCAGCTGAGTGCATCACAAAGCCTCAATGGCGACGACGACGCGGGTTTGACGCTTCCCACGTGATTTGAAGAGGGATGGGACAAGTTTGTTTGGTAGTTGTAGGAAACCTACGCCTTTTCAAACCGCAGTGTATCGGAAGCACACAGTGCTATGTCCAAATAGCGTAGTACTTGTTACCGAATCTGCCAGAAGCTGTGGCCAGTGATTGCGGCGTTGTTGTGGGCTTCTGGCTGTCCGGATCGCTAGCTCGAGATTATTTGCCCTGGTTCGAATGCAACTTATTTGGCTTGGGGCCGCTGGTAACGTGGCGCACACCTAGCGTGTGACGGTGGGTGCGATCAAGACAGCGCTGGCGTCCGTATTTGGCGCGTGGATGCATCCGGGACGTGTCTGGTGCTGACCTGTATGATGTAGAATGAACTTAGCACCCGAGGCGGAGATCCTTTGCACTGCCCACGATGTACGGGCCTGTCCCGGTGGCGAATATTCGTAACTTGGCGATAATGCTTTTTCAGCAGATACCGTCTTCAAATCAGTCATGTGCATGCTTCTATCGCTACCTCCTCATTTTAAGTAGACCTGCTAGTCATGACGAAAGTGATAAGGTGTTCTGAATTTTTTTTACTTATCATGGAATAAGCCATTCCCGTCTCATCGAACTCACGTGAGCACTTAGACGGCATCGTTCTGCATGGCGCCGTAGGTTGTCCGGGTGTCCGGGTATATTCATTCTGCATGGCGCCGTAGGTTGTCCGGGTGTCCGGGTATATTCGTTCTGCATGGCGCCGTAGGTTGTCCGGGTGTCCGGGTATATTCGTTCTGCATGGCGCCGTAGGTTGTCCGGGTGTCCGGGTATATTCGTTCTGCATGGCGCCGTAGGTTGTCCGGGTGTCCGGGTATATTCGAATGCCGAGCTGACCTAATTTCTTGACGATGCCTAGACCATTTTGGGCTGATGACACCTATTTAATCCGGTATTAACCGGGTTCCTCAGCGACCCACCATTGACCGGCGGGGGGCAGATTTCGTGCCCCTCCCCTGCCTATCTGAAGAACGGCTGGGCCCAATTCAAAAATTCAAATCGCAGTCGATTGCGCCGTGGCGTGCCGTCTCAGATCGCACAACGCTAAGTTCAGTTGTGTATTAAGGTCGCAGGTCAAGGTCAAATTATGAAGCTGTTCCCATAACAATGTTTGACCGTTCCCATAGCATATTTCATTTAGGAGGGCATTTGATGGTGTGAAATCATTGCGCCCTGATCAAACATGCTACGTAGGAAGGTATTCAATGTTACGCGCGCCGTGTCAGGCCTAGGGCCAAGCTGACGTGCCGTGCAATGGGGAGCTGAAACATCGGTGTGTATGCTTATTTTGGTCTATTTGTTTTCGTCATATTTGAACGATATAAGCGCGGAGTGGAAGAGCTGAGCCATAATGATGGATATCAGCATGTGAGCAAGAACGGTTCCTTGTTCATACACCGTCTAAGTTCAGAGTCAAGTGGATGACCTCGGTAGCGAATAAGCGGGCGGATTTATTTTCGCTTTGTTTTGGGCGGCTCAGGCCTGCTGAAAACACAACCTGGTAGCCTTCAACCCCGCTGCCAGTCACATGGGCGTTGGTTTGCGTGCGAAACTGATAAACAGGTTACGCCGTGCCGTCACTGCGCCACGGCTGTAGACCTAAGCCCCGCCGCCCGCCATCGCGGCCCCGAGCCCACCCGGACACGGGCGACATGCCCTGTGATATATTTAAAGTCGTAACTCAGTCATTGTCACAGAAAGTTGCTTGAAACTGGATGCAGGCATCCTTCACAGTCGTATCTAGGACACATGTTTCATGCTTTCAGTAGTTTGAGTCTGAGACCAAAAACTGTCGAGTGCGGTTTTTATCAATATTGTGCTATATGACATGCTAATAACGATAAAATATGCTAATAGATAATAACGATAAGGCATATGCATGTTGGACTAATGGGCTCACATTTTCCGTTTACAGATGTAAAATCGGTTCTTTCGTTCGGGTTGTGTGCCAATGCGTCTATGGCTATGCGTTTCTGTGAACAAAATCTGCAAACATGACGTCACTCTGACGTCACCTACGCTTGATCTGTTTAAGTCTCACAGTCATTATTTTGGCACAAGACGTGGAACTCATCAGTTGACAGTAACTGAAAATTGCGCCCCGATATAGTGAGACGTTTTTGAATTATCGTGAATATTCGACAGAGGGGACAGATTTGACCCCCTGTCCATGCCGGGTTAGGTTGTCTCCCGATCAAGATTGATCTTTTTAACGTGAGAAAAAGAAGCAGAAGCCGGCATCTGTACCATCTGAAGTGTGCAATGTCCACTGACTCTCATCGCACTTATTGCTCTTTCTCAGTCCCTTGCGCGTCCTCAGGCGTCCGATGCTCGATCCCCTGTGTTCATCATTCAGCCCGTATCCACTGACTCGTCCTCTTACGGTCGGCACGCCTGCCGGCGGCGCATGGCCGGCCTGACGTGCGGCGTCCTTGCCGCAGAGTTCTTCGAGTGTCGCAGCGGCCTGTCGGAGGAGACGTTCAGCTGGCAGGTGCCGCCGGGCGTGCTGCAGGCGCTGCCGTTCTTCTGGGGCCTGGCCGAGGACATGGACGAGTACCGGCGTGTCGTCTGCTCGCTCAGGTCAGTCAGCAGCCGCTCGCCAGCGGCTCTGTGGCCCCGTGTATGCGGCGACGTCCCCCTTTTCGGGAGTGATGTGATCACGAACGGGGTGGTGCATTGGTGGGCTTGAGGGCTCCAAAGCTCTACCCGACGGGTGATGTGTCAGCTCGTGAAGTTTGTGGGTTTTTGGAAAAACTAACTTTTTAGATAACCTGGAAACGAACGTTGCGGTAATAGGAACATATACATGTGGAGATACTTTAATAAGAAGTTTGTACCAATCTTTACTATGTTGGTAATGAGCTAAATGTTCCTCTCTACTTAAAACGATGAAATGTGTTTTGAGTGCCATTCTCAATCGTGAGGTTCGGAACAGCCCAGTATTCAGGGTAGATACACCTAACTTTTGGTGCCTGGCAACATCAGCCGTACCGCCTTTTAGGATCCTGCGTTGAACAAACTGACGTGTGCCGATTTGGCTCCTCGGTGCGGCAACTCCCTAAGCATGCAAAGAAGACAACAACGTGTGGTCACTTAAGTCCGCTTGTGGGGTGGGGAACGAGTGATAGCCAAACAGTGATAGCCTTGTTCATATTTCCCAGCATACTCGACTGCTGTGTTAGATAGGTCATGTCAAACTAAACGAAAATTGGGAAATGCATAGGGGTGCTTACTTCGACTTCCGAAAGTATGAACAAACTGGCTGTGCAAATTTGCACGCCCCTTGAATTTTCATTACCTAGAGGGCTTTGTTGCTTTTTCTTGCCGGACCCTTATAGTCCCGCTTGCATACCTTAATACGCTATTGCCAGATTGTCAAAGATGCTAGGAAAAACTGGAAAACCCATCATAGCTCTGTTATGATGCTGGACACTTGTTGTCCATTATGCTCAAATACCTTTGAATTCATATTGAGCAACCTCACCTAACTTGTGAGTGTGAAGGATATGACCACTTGGCCAGAATCCGTCTCAGGCTACCATTTTTGATATGGCAACCTGGCCGCACCCTGGCAAGCGGCCTCGCTGCCGTATGGAAGGCTTCTACAATATCTTTCACTCCGCGCTCATTGGTTGACTGATGTAGCGCTGCTGTAACCTCAACGCTGATTGAAAGCCGTAGACGCGCGGTTGCGGACGCAATATTGTCAAACTCTGAAGCTTGCAATACTCGCTCGGAGCGGGCGCATGCCTGTGCGATTACGTGCTAATGTAACCTAAGTGATTTATCAACAAAGTTGAGTATGAAAGGAATGCTAATCTAAGGCATCTGGAAACGACGTGGATGACCTTTATGAGCGAGGAACGACGAGAATTTTTTGCGTTTTATGAACGTATCGTCCTATTTAAAGGGAATAATTCACATTTCAAGGTATTGAAACTAGCATTAGATATGACGAAACGAGCTCTCTTAACATATTGGCACACTGTTTAAGTGAAAAGACTACTTTAGACAGCACAATTCTCTGTTTAGTACATATGCTTTTTAATGTGTCATGGTTTACGTCGTGGTACCTTGCACAAAGTTGATTGAGAGCCATTCGGCGGCCGTTGTATCTTTTAAATGCGCTCACGAACGCCAGATATGTACGCTTCGACAATTCTATCTTTCTTGGCCTCGGTCGCCGCATGGCTTATGGAATGGCAGGACTTGAATGGCGTTATTTTATGTTATGAATGTCAATGTGTCTTTGAAATACTCTCCCCCGATAAACCTTTCCCCGTTTTCGCTGGCGTGTGGCTCAGAAACTAGGGGCTTAAGTCTTAAGAAGGGCGAGATTGTGAACAACGCCGAAAGACCTTCAAGATGGCTATTTCAGTTCAAAACCTCATATAAATATGGCACACTACCTTTAAAAATGGCGCAAATGCTAGTCTGAAGTTTTGTGCCAATCTGGAATATTTTTCATGTGCTGTGTGAACGGGCTGTTGTCATGTCGGTGAAAGGTGGCGATAGCAAGATCGTGGTAATTACCGTGGGACTCATGGTTACCAAGACATAGCCTCTCTCTGAAGTCGGCTGTGATTGTTTTGAAGCTGACTGCCTGGCTACACACCACTAAATCTGCCTGCATTTTGGCGAGACGCGCGTGCGCCTCGAGCCGTGGCAACTTCCACGATCATCAGCTGGGCGCCGGTACCACCGCCATGGATATGCTAAAGATTTTCCAAGTGTAGAGCAGCGATTCTCCTTCGCAAATGAAAAACATCACTACGTAAGAGTGTTTGTGTGTGTCTGGATCGAGTGTCATCGCTCATGTGCATGCGCCATGACCAAGAGCACAGCTTCGAAACGTCGCGTGTTGTCGACAAACACTACGTACGCGTATCATGAAGGCCAATCATTGACGGCATAAGGATGCCGATATCATGATGTCTACACTTGGATAAAAAACAAAAACGTTGAGCGGGAACCCCTGGCTGTGGTGGTATGACAGATGTTTTGGGAAGAGGCAGACCGAAGTATAATGCGACTGTAGCGCATGTTCTTTCCGTCTTGAAGCCCGTTTTGATGTCGGTATGACACTACGTTATTTTGCTTCTGCTCAGCCAGGCGTATTTATTTATCATCGACCATTGGTGGCAATATCGTACATAAACATCTAAGCACTCCCAGGGCTCACGGCAAGGATTTGACCTTCGCAGTATCGCCATCGCATCTTCTTGACCGCGCCGCAACATGCAACATGGATAAAAACCATCTTTGTTCTCGGATATCCAGACATTATAGCGTACACTCTTGACTGCGGTCTCAAACTCCGAGGAATGCAATAGATAGGGCGCAAAGCTTGCTATGTTTCGACAGACATGCCCTCTCGAGGAGGCTTTTGAAATGTATATTTAATGGTGAACCATCACATATGATTCAAAGCCTAAGACGAATCTGAAACGATGGGCGTTTATGGAGACGCTCCACGTTCCACGCTTTATGCAGGTTTTATACAGGTGTTTAACAGGTGGGACTGCCTTACACTCGCAGACGTTTCGTACATTGCGAAAAACAGGGCACTCGATGACAGGAATAGGGCGAACAGATGGTAATATAAGGATAACACAAATCATAGCAATTGGACATAAAAAGGTATACATAATCAGTTTACTGAGGTCCATATCTAGCGAACGTTCTTGGCTACTGTAATAATCGCCAGCCAACGACGTTTTTACGCATAGAAGACGAACGTGGCGGCGAATCTATTGCGTATAATGGACACGAAATATTGTTATTTTAGCACGCAACGTTCCGAGCTAAGGTCTGACTTGCACAGCATCGTCATTATTTATTTACGACATTATCACGACTTGCTTTTCACTGAAGCTTAAGAGTCTAATTGCAGATTGATGGGGGTGAAGAGCAGGTCCGCCTAAAGTATGAAACATAATTTGAGGAGCATGCTTGTCTCCGAAAAATATTAGCACATATAATTACGCAAGCACGATTGTACAATAATAGACATATTCCCTTCATCACGTCCTCTGCTACATTGTTTAGCAGATACATGCAATAGAAAGAAAGAGAACTGACTATCGTCGGCATCCCACATTATCTCGATGGTGCACTTTGAGGCAAAGCCAAGGACGGTCCATGTGATGTCGTTGCTTTAGGCTGCTAGTTCCGTCTCGCAGGGTTGACACGTGAGGAGACCTGTGCGGCCATCCGCCAGCACGTGCGTCGAAGGGCTTCTCTGAAGTCGGTGCTGAAGACGACGAAGACCAGGGGACTGAAGATGGCGGCGAAGGCACCGCTGATTATCATCACAAGCAGCCCCAGCAGTCTCATATCTGGCATGAGCAGGCACGATGACTCTCGTTTGAAGAGTAAAGTCAAAAAGGGAAGGGAAGAGACGAAAAAGATGACGAGGCATGCCGCAAGGGAGATGGTGGCCACGATGTCCACTCTGCGGCATCTGCGTATGGTGCTTCGCTGGCTTCCAGCTGTCCTGAGCAGCGAAACAGGCGAGTCGATCTGGACGGCGCTGGGAACTCCAGTCCCCGCGACGCCAGCGACGCTCAGACTCTGCACCTGCAGTGTCAGGCCGCCGCCGCCTCGTCGTTGTGACTTACTTATTGCCCCTCCGTCGCTTGGTCTCCCGCCGCTTCTTTCTTCCTTGTTTCCTTCTCCGCCTCCTCCTCCTTTCAGTCCATCTCTTCCTGTCCCATCGCTACCTTTTTCATCATTTCCTTCTTCATCACTTCCTTCTATATCACTTCCTCCTTCACCCCCACTGATTCTTGTTGTTACCCCTGGCCGTTGTTTCTTCTGTCCCAATCCCTCCTCTCCTCCTGCCCCATTGCCGTCTCCATCCCCTCCTCCCTCACCGTTCACCGTTGTGGCAGGGCAATGGCAGATCTCGGGTGTCATTGGCCGGTCGCGCTTGGACGCGGCGATCGGGGTTTGCCCAGCCGAGACAACCGCCGCGACTTGCGCGGTCTGAGCTGGCGCTGTGGCTGGCGGCTGCGGGTGCCGGGCTGTCGTGGCCTGGGCCTTGGCCGGCTGCCAGTGCGGCTTGTCCGTCTCCACCTCGGCGATGGTGCTGAGCCGGCCAGCCGGTGCCGTCCTGTCGTTGGAAACGGCGCTGCTCGCGCGGGAGACGCGGCCCGCCACCGGCGGCCCGGCGCGCTCGCGGTCCCGGCAGCCGCGGGATGTCCCGCTCTCGCTCGCCCCCAGCTGGGGACTCTCTCGGTCGCCGGTGGGATGAAGCGCCGCCGCACAGTCAGCCGGTAACTGCGACCGGTCTGACAGTTTGTGCACGCGGGGTCCCGCCTCACCTCCCGAGGGAACCTTAAGACGTCCTTTGGAAAATATGCCGGTTTGTACGTGTTTCTTGGACACGGCAGCTTTTCTCAGAATCCGGACATAGCAGAATGCTAAAACGACGAAACCCACGACATATTGGAGCACATGGTTGAGAAAAATTGACTCCTTTGTAACGTCTAACGAAGTCGTGATGGCATGTCCATCGGTGTTCACTGCTACTTCTGGAGAACATCGGACGCTTCCGTTGCTGGTTCGCACCACCCACT